GGGGGGGGGGGGGGGGGGGGGGGGGGGGGGGGAGCCCACGCGTGTGAGCCCCTGCGCCGCGACCGGCCCCCGATCCGGTGCCGGGAGGCCAGATCCCGCATTCACCCACAGTCAGGGGGCCCTCCCGCCCCCCAATCGGCCTTGCGCGCGCGCACACACACGCACACACGCACACACGCACACACGCACTCTCATGCCGGCCCTCGACTCGGGCTGACTCCCGACCCTCCCTGCCGCCCTGAGGAGACGTGCGTCACTGCCCCCCTCGGGCAAGCCAGCGGGCGGCACCGGGCCACCCCGGCGCCGATCGCCGTGCCTCCGCCGGTGCGCACACGCGCGGGCACACATAAATGGCCCGGCGGAGAATCCCCCTCCGCTGGCCGGCGGAGCGCGCCAGAAGATTGCGTGTCAAGCACCCCTCCCCCCTGATATCTGCCTGCTTCTCCCCCCTCCTCTACCCCTTGCCCTTGTGAGTACTTCTCCACTTGCTGCCCTCCCCCGCCCCCCCCCCCTTCCCTCCTGAGGGGCGCCCTCCACGCAGCGTCCACCCTTCCGCTAACCAGTCCCTCCGCTGCCCTCCCCCCGCGCTTGCCCCGGGACCGCTTGACGCCAGCACCATGCTCGGTCGCACGCTGCCTATGGCCCGCTTTGCCTCTGCGCGCGCCGCCGCCGGCCGCGCGGTTGCCCTGCGCGCTTCGGCCATTCACTCGCCCGCGGCCCTGGCCGCGGATGCTGACCGTCGCCAGAACCACACCGCTCAGGCCGCCCCGCTGGTGGCCAGCCGCTTCCCCCTGGCGCGCGCCTTCTCCACCGAGGCCACCCCGGCGGCTGAGACCGCCAAGCCGGCGTCCACCGTTCGCCGGCAGTTCCAGGCCGAGACCGCCAAGCTGCTGGACATCGTGGCCAACTCGCTGTACTCCGAGAAGGAGGTTTTCGTTCGGGAGATCATCTCCAACGCGTCGGATGCGCTGGAGAAGGTACGCGCCTTGGATCGCCGCTGCCGCTGCCCCCTGCCCCTCTCCCTCCCCCCCCCCCCCCTCCCCACGTAGACCCCATTCTCTGACCCGTCCATGGCGCCGCACCCCTGTGTGCCCACAGCTCCGCCACATGCAGCTGACTGATGCCTCGCTCGGCGGCGAGGGTCCCCTGTCCATCGCCATCACCACCGACGAGGAGGCCAACACCATTACCTTCACCGTGCGTCACCGTGCATGCACTCCCATTCGCGCGCCTGGCACCTCCCGCGCACGGGACTCACACCTGCTCCCCCACCTGCCCCCTCACCTGCTCCCGCGGAACTGGGGGGGGAAAAAAAACCCAACAATAGGACAACGGTATCGGCATGACCGAGGAGGAGATGATCAACAACCTCGGCACCATCGCCCGGTCCGGCTCCAAGGCCTTCATCGAGGACCTCAAGAAGACCGGCGGCTCGGCCAACGCGAGCGACTCCATCATCGGCCAGTTTGGCGTGGGGTTCTACTCGACCTTCATGGTCGGCAACCAGGTGGAGGTGATCTCCCGGTCTGTGACCGACCCGAATGGCAAGGGCTATGGCTGGATTTCCAGCGGGTATGTCCATTCGCGCCCCCTGCCCTTCCCCCGAATTGCCTTCCCCCCGTCCCCGGGCTGGGCACCACCCGGTCGCTGACCCCCCGGCCCCACCCCCACCGCGTCCATGTGCCCAGTACCGGCGAGTACGAAATGTATGATGCCCCCGATGCCCAGCCTGGCACCAAGATCATCATCCACCTGAAGGACTCCTGCCGGGAGTTCTCTCGGCCCAAGCGCATTTCCGGTGCGAGCCCCTCTGCTCTCTCTCTCTCTCTCTCTCCCGCCCCCTGCACTTGCCGGTCCCTGGCGCATGCGCCACCGTGCCATTGCACCGCCACCACCACCACCACCACCACCACCCCCCTCTGACATGCATATGTGTGACCCGCCGCCGTCGCAGATGTCATCGACAAGTACAGCTCCTTCATCTCCTTCCCGATCATGCTGAACAACGCGCAGATCAACAACCTGAAGCCCCTGTGGATGCACAGCAAGGAGGAGATCACCCCGGAGGCGCTGAAGAACTTCTACCGCTTCACGTCCGGCATGTCGGACGACCCGATCATGTCGCTGCACTACTCGGCCGACGCGCCGCTCACCCTGCGCACGCTGCTCTTCGTGCCGTCGCACAATGTCCAGCGCTTCCAGAAGCGCATCGACCACACGGTGTCCCTGTACACGCGCAAGGTGCTGATTCAGGCCAACTGCCGGCACCTGCTGCCGGAGTGGCTGCGCTTCGTCACCGGTGTCGTGGACTCGGAGGACATCCCGCTGAACCTGTCGCGTGAGATGCTGCAGGACAGCGCGCTGATTGCCAAGATTCGCCGGCACCTGACCGGGCGCATCCTGCGCTGGTTCTCCGACGAGGCTCGCAACAACCCGGACTCGTACCTGGAGTTCTACGAGCAGTTCGGCATCTTCCTGAAGGAGGGCGCTGCCACGGATCGCGAGTTCACCGACCGCGTGATGAAGCTCCTGCGCTTCAACTCGTCCTACTGCATGGAGCGCTACCGCGAGCGGGCTGCCTCGTATGAGCGCCGCCGGCAGAAGCACGAGGACGAGACGGGCAACATGCTGCTGGATGAGGAGTTCACCGCGGCCCCGGTGGCCTCGCTGGATGAGTACATCGCCCGCATGAAGCCCGGCCAGAACAAGATCTACTACCTGGTGACCCCGACGCGCCAGCTGGCCGAGCAGTCTGTCTACTATGAGCCCTTCAAGCAGCACGGCCTGGAGGTGCTGTTCCTGCATGAGGCGGTCGATGAGTATGTCATGAACAACCTCCGGTCGTACGAGGGCAAGGAGTTCGTCAACATCGAGTCGCCGGATGTCGACATCAAGGCCACCGTCTCGGAGGAGGAGGCCAAGGAGGCCGAGAAGAATGTGCTTGTGCGTGCCGCCCCGCATGTGTCCCTCGGGCTGTTGGCTTCCTCTCCCTTTTTTTTGTCTGTGGCTCTCATGCTTGCCCCGATTACGCGGGGGCCGGGGGGGGGGGGGGGTGATATTGCTGTTGTCTGTTGCTGACCCCCCATTCTGATGGTCTCCCGCCGCTGCTATGGTGTGTGTGCGTGTCGTCGTCGTCGTCGTCGTCGCGCATGCCTTCGTGTGATGGGGGCGGTGGGGCTCTTTTTTTTTTTCTCGCCCTCCCTCTTCCCGGTGTACAGGACTCGGATGCCGTGTGCTTCTGGTTCCTGCAGACCCTCGGCAACGAGCTGGTCCAGTCGGTCAATGTGTCCAACCGCCTGGTGTCCTACCCGGCCATGATTGTTGGCTCGGAGTCCGGCGCCATGCGCTCCATGATGCAGATGCTGCACAACTCCATGGGCGAGGACCGTACGTGATGGGTGTCCCTTTTGCCGGGTCTGCCTTTTTTATCCGCCCTCTGCTGATGTGTGTGTGCATGTGTGTGCATGCGTGTGCATGCGTGTGCATGTGTGCATTTGTGCCCATACATGCGCATGTTTGTCTGCTTGTATGTCACCCTGACACGCCCTCTTTCCCCCCCCCCCTCCCCCCCTTTGCACACGCAAACAGTCCCCATCCCGCCCCAGCGCCTGGAGATCAACCCCAACCACCCGATTGTGCGGAACATCATCAAGCTCCGCGACAGCGGCAACACGGCCATCGCCCGCATGGCCGCCCGGCAGATGTTCGACAATGCCCGCATGGCTGCCGGCGTCATCGACGACCCGCGCGCCATCCTGCCCAACCTGAACCGCGTGCTGGAGTTCGCCATCCTCGGTGCGGCCGACAGCAAGTCCAACGCCGACCGCCTGACCGCGCTGCTGGAGAAGACCGAGTTCGCGGACAACTACCGCGACCCGAACAACCAGTTCTCCGAGCTGGACAACAGCTACTCCGAGTGGGTCACCCAGACCTCCAACGAGTCGGTCAACAACGTGGAGAAGAAGGACAACTAAGGCCCGCCGCCCGGAGATAATACAGGCCCAGGTGTGATGAGTGTCTGTGGCGTGTGTGCGTGCGTGCGTGCGTGCGTGCCGGTACGCATAGACAGAGCCCGTGCAGGGCCCGGAGGGGAGGAGCCGGCCCCGGGGGCGAAGGGGGGGGTGGGGGCCACCCTTTTCTGGCACGGCCGGAGGGGCG